AGCCAACAAAAACGCGTCATTGAGGAGAATGGCACTATCAGCCACGGAGGCTACACTCTACAGTGACCATGAACTGTCAGTCATCGGCCGAAGGCTGCCTCAGGAGACTTGAACTCCCCCACACATCTACCTGAGCCCTCAGCCAACTGGAGGCCAGAGAAAGCCCTCAGCGAGGAGTGGGAGGAGCTTGCGTTCAGGGGCTGCCGGGCTGGCACACCGAGGGGTGAATATGGAGAAGCTATGGGCAGGATCTGACATCTGCTGTAGTTAACAGCATTTTTAACATTTTTCTTGAGCCTGTTTTGTCTTACATTTAAAATTAGTGGATCTATTTCTTTCTTTTTTTTTTTTTTAGTGGATCTATTTCTAAAGAGATTTACTAAAGAGACAAGGTGAGAAAGTTTATAAATATGCTACTAAACAAATGGTTTCATTCACATTTATGTTTACCTATGTGAATTGAGAACATTTAATTTAAAATTTATTAGTGGTCTGATTCAACTCTTAAGTGCATATAAGCATGGGTCTAGTAAATTCTTAACTATTAGGTGCATCTAAGCATGTACCTACTAGGCATTAGGTATTGTGAGCATGTAAAATAGAACAAGATTTGGCCTCCTTGTCCAAGTCAGGTAGAATTAGTGGGCAAGATTCTTTACCATCTGAGCCACCAGGGAAGCCCAAGTGGGCAAGACAGAGATGCACAAATCGTTTTCATAATAGCTGCCACGGTACAGGTTCATGAAATTGAAGAGTCAGTGTCTCATCCATCAGTTGTTTTTCATGGCAGTGCTGTCCCAGGTACCCACAACACAGGGGTACAGAGGGCAGAGGAGAACTCACATTTGCGTGTGGAATTCCTAGCGTGCTACTTCAGTTCAATCACCCTCTGTCTCTCCTGCCTCATTTCCTGCCACTTCTGGGTTTTGATGCTTAAGCCAAATGACCATTCATGAATTTTTTGGTCCAGACTTACAGAGCTTATGAATAGCAGAGCCAGGTCAGAATAGAACCCGGGTGATTCCTGGGCCCAGGCTTTGTGCTCCTACTGCCACATTCACTGGAGATTGATAAGATTATGTCAATAGATAGGAATATTTCCAGTGGTCTGTTTACAGTGTTTTCTCTTTTGACAATATAGTAGGCTGAATAAAAGTTCCCCAGAGATGTCTCCAATCTAAGCTCTGGTACCTGGGCATATGTTACCTTATGTGGCACAAGGACCTTGGCAGATGTGACTAAGTTGAGGGTATTGAGATGGGGAGGTTGTCTTGGATGATCTGGGTGGGACTCATGTAACAACAAGCACCTTTATAAGAGGGGCAAGGGGTCAGAGGGGAGAGAAAATGCTATGCTATTGGCTTTAAGGATAAAGGAGGCAGACAAGAGCCTAAGGATGCAGATGAGGCAACCTCTGGAAGCTGGAAAGGGAGAGGAGAGGAATTCTCCCCTGGAACGTCTAGAGGGACATCAGCCCTGTGGACCCATTTTAGACTCCTGATCTCCAGAACTGTAAGAAAATAAAATTGTCCTTTTTGAAGTCACTAAGTTTGTGGTAATTTGTTACAGCAGATGGTATAGCAGAAAGGTATCCTGTCCTTTGAAATGTCAACTTTGGGCAAGCTTTCACAAGGCCCTCTCTGGTCTGTGGTCTAAGCTGAGGGTCCTCAGCCCAGGGATCAGTCAAGGCCTGCAGTCCTGACTGGTCATGTTTGGGTTTCCCAGGTGGTGCTAGTGGTAAAAACAAAACCAAACCCACCAGACAATGCAGGAGATGCAGGTTTGATTCCTGGGTCCTGAAGTTGCCCTGGAGGAGGACATGGCAACCACTCCAATATTCTTGCCCGGAGAATCCCATGGGCAGAGGAGCCTGGTGCTGGGCTATGGTCCATAGGGTCGCATGTTTGGGGCTGAGCATCACAGGAGTTAACCTACAGAACAGAAGCTTTCAGGATCAGTCTAAAATACAGGCGGTATTTTACTGGCAGCCTCTTAAAAGCACATGACTCATTCAGAAATACAACATTTGGTCGATGACTATGTCAGACTTTCAGGTAAATTTAATCAATAGACAACCACTATTTTATTTTTATCCAAACCTGAATTTCATATTACATTTCATTCCATTAGCCTTGATATAAAGTGGCAGTTGATAGCAAGCCATATTGACAGGCCCTCCTGGGCATAATCTAGTAGTCACCTTAAATCATTTATCCACTGCATGATTCATGGCTTGTAAGGAGGAGGTAGTCACTGAGTATTTAAACAGAAAGCTAAATAACAGGGCACTAGAAATCTTTTATTTCAGTTATTTAATCCACCTTAATTAATTAAAGGCATTTGACCACCTCTCAGTATCTTGAATCACAATGGGTACTGTTTGTTCCTAGCACGAAAAAGGGTAAAGACACAGGTGATTTTGAGGGGTGGAGGGGGTGGGATGCCTGTGGTTCCCAGAGGCTAGCTCTGGCAGTGTGCTCCCACTTGGGGTGGTTGTCTTGCTTTGATGCAGGGGAATGATGCAAATCATTTGAGATTAACAAATGTTTCTTGATCATCTAGAAAATGTCAGGCTAGTCACTCACTAGAGGTATAAAGATTAAGAAGGCTCAGACTCCACTCTGTTCAGGGAGTATCTGTGAAATTTTTGAATTATTTTTCATTGATGAGTTATTTTGTTTTAGAAATACTGGTGACCAGAAAACCAATAGTGACTTAAGAAGCTGGTTTCTAGTAGCTTCTTAGAGGCAAAATAGGTTTTGAAGGTGTTCCTGGTCCCTGGAAGGTGCTTCAGCGAGAGGGATTGTCTAGTCACTCAAGGTCTGGGAGAGCAGTTCGGGGGTCTTTGCATAGTATTAGGTTCCTCTTGGGCACCACTTAGCTCACAACCATGTACAGTTTGAGAATCTGAGAAGGAACTGCTTTAGACCGATAGCAAATCTAGCTACAAATGGAAAATTCTGTGCTGGGCCCACACTGAGAGTGAAATACAAACATGTCACGGAGGAAAGCAGTGCGGACGTCTGTCAGCAACAGGGCCAGAGTGGCGGGCTTTCCACGGGGTTTACTTTGCCTCAGCCTACAGGGCCGCGCGTGTACCCGTCTTATGCTTGCAGTGCGTGACTCTCTAGTTGTGCCACGTGGGCCTCCCCTGGGGCTTGTGCCCAGAATCCGTGAGAACACTGTGATGCAAAAAGATTGAATCCCCCATTGCCTCTCTTCCTCTGCCCCCGGCCCCGAGGTTTGTTAGGATCACAAAGCAGCAGCCAGTTTACCTCCCGCACGGAGACATAATATCCACTGAGAGCCCTGGTCCATGTGAGGCGCGAGACTCCAGACCGTGGGGCTGGTGATGCCCTGGAAGGGTTTACTGTCCACGAGGGAGCCTTAAAATCCCTGTGAAGATCACTGCATCTGAGTCTGAGAGCTAAATACCCATCACTGTTTACCATCAGTCCCGCGGGTATTAAAGGCAGAGGCTTAGCCTTTGTGGAAGAAATGGGCCTTGGGCTGAATTTTGAAAGAACAAACTGGCAGTCCTTAGGCTGATAACTAGTGGGACTCTGCACACCTCTTTCTGCCTGTGATTTGTACACTAGCTGCTCACTAGTGAGGGGACACAGTGTTGGGAGAGTCCAGGGTCTTAAAGAAGACAGACCTGAATTCAAGTCCTAGTCCCAACTTTGCCATTTCCTACCTTTACAGACAAGGTACAAAGTGTCTCTCACCCTCAGTGAGAAGATAAAATAGAATAACAAAACAAAAAATAATAAAATAGACCAATACTTATCTCACCATGTTTTTATAAAGAGGAAATAAAAATCTAATAAAAGTAAAAATATGCCCAACTCAGGCTGAAAATTAGAGTCTGTTAGGATAATGGTTAAGTGGCTGTGACAAAGACTTCCAAAGCTACACTGTTTGAAGGAAAAAGGCATAATTGAGCCCTAGTCATGGAGATGGTGGGATATCTTGAGATCACCCAAGATGATCTTCTTGGTTTAACAAAGCAGTGTTCATCAACTAAATTTAACTTCTCAGGTATTGAATAAGTCTCTATGTATGAAGCCTTTTAACTCTGAGGAGCTCTAGGTAATTTTTTTTTTTCTTGGTACAAAAGTATTTAATAAGCACCACATCAGTACTCTAGGTAATTATTCTACTAAATAATCAAATGAATGCTGGGCTCTATTCTAGAATATCTAAAGTGGTCAGATATGGGCCTGTGTTAGGAAAACTTTGAGGAAGTGGGAAGGGAACTCATTTAAGCTAGTAAAAAAATAGGCTGGCCGGAGAGTCTTCCCTGGTGGTCCAGTGGCTAAGCCTCCATGCTCCCAACGCTGGGGGGCCCAGATTCAATCCCTGGTCAGGGAACTGGATCCCACATACCACAACGGAGATCACATGCTACAACTAAAGGTCCTGCAGACCACAAGGAAGACTGAAGATCTTAGTTGCATACTGCGACTGAGATCTGGCACAGTCATATAAGCAAATAAATATTTTTTTTAAAAGTAGGGCTGGGAGGAAGGGAAGTCCACTGAGAAATGGTAAAAGAGGACTCACTGAAGTTCTTGCACTCAAGCCAGGAAAACATCCTGCCATTTTATTATGTGATACCTAATGTTCTAAACTTCAAACATAGAGATGCATAGAGATCACCTGGGGAGCCTACTTAAAATTCCCATCTCCAGAGATGCCAGCTCAATGGATCTAGTGGACAGAAATATACCTTTTTAATAAGGATCCCAGGAGGTTCTGATGCCAGTGATCCATTGACCTCAATTTAAGAAACACTATCATAGATAAACCTTTCAGAAAACTTCAAGATATTTCTGTTTTCATCTACATAATAGCTACCCATTACACTTAATATTGGTGGTTTATTTTGCCACTTAGCCCAGATTCTGATTGATGATGTACATGCTCAGGGATCAAGGACCCATGAGGAACCAGGAGCAGTTTTGTTGATGTGACAACCCCTCATACTCAGCACTCACCTCTGGTGGAAGCTGGACTGGACAACGTGCTTTTGGCTGGAGCCAAAATCTGGCCTGTGATTTCTTCCTCCCTGAGTTTCTGCTTATCTCACTCTTCCTTTCTGTCCACAACAAATGACGGGCAGGACACAGTGAAAGCATTATGAGGCAAAGGCTACCAATCACATGCACACTAGCCACCGAGAAGGGGAGAAAGACAGCAAGAGAATAACCTGGGTCGTAAAGCCAAGATGGTAGCCAAAGGCAACAGATTTCAAAGCATCATAGAGGAACCTTAAAGTGATGATAAAAATGTTCTGTGCAAGTAAAAGAAGCAACTCTCAGGGATTAACTTTCACACGAGATATACAATGTCACTGGTGCACAGGGTCAGTGACCAGAGGCAACCAGAGCCAAGCAGGCCCCTTAGTTCATGGTGACTCCAGGAGACACCCTTCTTCCCTCCCTCCCTCTCTGTTGCTTTTTTTTCAGAAATCAAGAATGCATTTCTCATAGAGACCAACCTTAAGAGAAGGTTGAGGAAGTTGCGTTATTCATCTCTCTCCTTTTTCTTGTAATGGGCCCGGGGCAGATGCACAGCTGTTAGTGAGCCGCTGTTAGGGATTCCTGCTCAGCCACTGGCCAGCATCGCAGTGGGTCGCTCACCCAAGCGAGCGACAGTTAGGGAGTGACCTTAGCAGTCCTGCTCAGCCATTGGTCGGCACCGCTGTGGGCTCTGCCCCCTCCCGTCTTCTGTATAAAAGGAGCAGAATTGGGACTGAGGGAAGGTGGTTTTTTGAGACCCTAGTCTGCCGTCTTCTCAGTCTGCCAGCTTTCTGTTAAAGTCGCTATTCCTGGAACTTCCTTGGTGGGTCCAGTGGCTAAGATGACACGCTCCCAAAGCAGGGGGCCTCAGTTTGACCCCTGGTCAGGGAACTAGACCCCCATATGCTGCAACTAAAGATTCCAAGAGCCACAACTAAGACCTGATGCAGCTGAAAAAAAGAATCGCCATTCCTTGCCCCAACAACTCCCCTGATTTACTGGCTGGTCGCGTGACGAGCAGAGTGAGTGTGGGCTCGGTAGCATTCTTACATTCTCATAGGACCCCTCGTTCTTATACACACTCTCTTTGACACAGAAACTGGTGCTGCGCTGAGCACACACAGTAGGGGCTTTGTTAAGTCTCGAGGTCAGATGCAGACGGAGCTCAGAGATGCTTTTCCCAGATGGGTAAATTCCCTCCCATGATGAGCAGCCATCCTGTGAGGGGATGCGCAGTGGCCTTCCTGCCCTACACCGCCCCTCGCTTCAACCACACACCTGCCCTCAGAGGGCTCTTTCCTCTGACCGTCCTGGGGCCGCCATTTTTATAGAACACTGTGCCCTGACAGTGATCACAGCTCCATTCCAACTGCCTCATCCTCCCTACAACCAGCCTACCCACCCCACAGCCTCGGCATCTGACTTGATAGTTACATCTTTGGGCTGAGCAATGATCCAGGTTTCCTGACTACACGGTTGAAATAGGACCCTTCTGACCAACTGACATGGGGGTGCTGTCTCTCCGTAAGATGCAGAATGATGTATTTGTCTGCTAGGGCTGCCGTGACAAAGTTTCACAAACTGGGTGGCTTAAGCCACAGAAATTTAACATCTCACAGTTCTGAGACCAGAAGTCCAAGATCACTGTGTCCACAGTGCCATTTCCTTCTTAGGATCGCAAGGCGAGTCTGCTCCTTCCCTCTCTCTTAGCTTCTGCCCCTTTGCTAGTGATCTTTGCACGCGTGCATGACCCACCTTACCTCTGCCTTCACGTTTTGTCCTTCACATGTGTCTCTGTCCGAATTTCCCATTTTTATAAGGACATCAGTCACGCCAGATCAGGGGTCCAGTCTACCCCAGAGTGACCACATCCTAACCAACTACATCTCTAACGACCCTATTTCCAGATAAGGCCACATTCTGAGATCCCAGAGGCTGGGACTTGAGCATCTTTTTGTTCAGCTGCTCAGCTGTGCCCGATTCTTTGCGACCCCATGGATCAGCATCAGTCCTTCCAATGAACATTCAGGGTTGACTTCATTTAGGATTGACTGGTGTGATCTCCTTGCTGCCCAAGGGACTCTCAAGAGTCTTCTCCAACACCACAGTTCAATATCTTTTAGGGGGACACAACTCAACACATAATGGCTGGTAATATTTCTGTCACTTGTATGTACCAGGCCCCTTACCAGGGATGATACTGGAGTGAGGTAAGTGAGACACTCATTGGCAACTAAACTTAGGGAGTGCAAAGTAACTCAGCAATCAAGATAAATCATATGTTAATAATTCATTTTGAATAATTCAAGTGGAAGAAAAATTCCATAATGAGCAAAACATCAACATTTAAAATAAAGGCAGCACCTGACCCCACACTTGCCTGGTGGGGTCTCTCTTTCTGCTCCTGACACTCGATCCTCACTGCTCTCCTCAGAGAGAGCCCTGGCTTCTCTCTTTTTAAAATTTACTTTCTATTTTTAATTGGAAAATAATTGCTTTACAGTGTTGTGTTAGTTTCTGCTCTACGGCAGTGTGAATCGGCTGTGTATACATGTGTGTCCCCTCCCCCTTAAGACTCCTTCCCCTCCCTCGTCACGCCACCACAGGGCGCCAGGCCGAGCTCCATGTGCCGTACGGCCTCTTCCCACCGGCTATCTCCATGTGGCAGCGTATACACGTCAATGCTGCTCTCTCAATGTGCCCCACCCTCTCCGTCCCCTCCTGTGTGCACAAGTCTGTCCTCGAGGTCTGCGTCTCCATTCCTGCCCTGCACATAGGTTCATCCGCACTGTGTTTCTAGATTCCATATACATATGCTGCTGCTGCTAAGTCGCTTCAGTCGTGTCCGACTCTGTGTGACCCCACAGACGGCAGCCCACCAGGCTCCCCCATCCCTGGGATTCTCCAGGCAAGAACAGTGAAGTGGGTTGCCATTTCCTTCTCCATCCATATACATATACATATGCATTAATATACGATACTTGTTTTTCTTTTTCTGACTTACTTCACCAGGCCTCTCTTTACCCTTGAATATAATCTCATGAAATTCAGAACACAACTTAGGATATGTCTTTGGATTTTGAATTCAGAAGGCTCATTTAACACTAGGATTGAACCTTATTCATTTCCCACTTAAGTAATTCTCTGCCAAGTACTTTCCACGTCTCTCAGACTATAAGTTTAATTAGAGTACCTTAACTCTACTCCTGGAGAAGGCAATGGCACCCCACTCCAGTACTCTTGCCTGGAAAATCCCATGGATGGAGGAGCCTGGTGGGCTGCAGTCCACGGGGTCGCTAAGATTCGGACATGACTGAGTGGCTTCACTCTCACTTTTCACTTTCATGCATTGGAGAAGGAAATGGCAACCCACTCCAGTGTTCTTGCCTGGAGAATCCCAGGGACTGGGGAGCCTGGTGGGCTACTGTCTATGGGGTTGCACAGAGTTGGACATGACTGAAGTGACTTAGCAGCAACAGGAATTCTACTACTAGAGAGTTTATCTAGTTTATCAAGACTATCTTGATATCTCAGACCCACATAAACACTTCCTAGAGGGGGCTTCTGCTTCTTGGTGATGTCATTTGGCCCGGTCAGCATTCCTTCATCTTTGGTTTTCTTTAAATACCAATCAATGGTACACCCAGGACACTCTCTCCATCCTTGGAGCCCCTTCAGGGATGGACTGGATTGCTCTGGAGGTTTATTTCTCCTCACTTCGAGGGCAAGGGCAAGTCTGGGGTGCGCTGATGAGACAGCAGCTACCCCCAGACTTACCAAACTCACCCACATATATATGAGAGTTGGAAAGTAGAGAAACCTCAATTTCAGGGAAAGAAGATAAGCATTGAGCCTCTTTCAGAGACAGACCAGGGTGAGCTGTTTTGCCAAAGTGACAGAGAAAAAGGCAACAGTAGCAGATAGGCCCGAGAAGGCAATGGCACCCCACTCCAGTACTCTTGCCTGGAAAAATCCCATGGACGGAGGAGCCTGGTGGGCTGCAGTCCATGGGGTCGCTAAGAGTTGGTCATGACTAAGCGACTTCACTTTCAGTTTTCACTTTCATGCATTGGAGAAGGAAATGGCAACTTACTCCAGTGTTCTTGCCTGGAGAATCCTGGGGACAGGGGAGCCTGGTGGGCTGCCGTCTATGGGGTCGCACGACTGAAGTCAGACACGACTGAAGCAACTTAGCAGCAGCAGATAGGCATGTGTTGATAAGAGACAGACACTCCTCTTGCTGACCCCATAGTCTGACCTGCCTGTTGATGGCTAATTGGGCAGATGAAGTGGGACATGTGGACAGTCTGAAGTCTCTGCTTCTAGACTTTTCCAGCCTCCATCACCTTTGTGACTTTCAACTTCATTCTGACTTAGCTTTTTGTAGCACAAGCCACAGCACATGCATCTACATACCTACACCACATTTACTCACCAGTCATCTAATTCAGTAGCTAAGGACACTTTAAGTCCCTTTTTCTTTAGTGAACTGTAGACTAGTTTCTGTGGTTATATGGAGGAGAAGAGATGTACTCTGCCATGGATTTTTTTTTTAATGCCATTCACAAATAGCCTACATTTTACAGCCTCTTGGAAAATACCTCTATCAATGTGTCAATGTGCACAAAACAGCACAGGTCTTGGCTCCCAGCGGAGCTTCATAAATCTTAGTTCTAAATTACATATCCAATAAAGAAAATGTAGGAATCATTTTGCTTAAGAATAAGGATGTTTTGTAGGGCCAACACTAGGGGAAATGTTCAGTATCAAGAAGGCCAAGATCTAGGGGGCCACAGGGAGCCAGGACCAGAGACTGGAGCTCGGAGGCATGGTTGCTAAGAGCCGATTGCAGCTCTGCTCCTGGTGACTAGTTCACAAAGAAGCTAACTTCTCCAGGTCTTGGTTTCCTTAGGAGTAAGACAGGGGGTTCAGCATGGGTGGTGAGTTTCCACTCTGACTCCTGAAAATCTATGACACTGTGCTCACTCTTGTTCCTGGATGAAGGGACGCTCTGGGAGAAATCACTTCCTTTGTAAGTTAGCAACTTGTTTCTCCAGGATTCTCTGTAAAGACTGGTGCTGCCGATGGTCACAATTCCCTTGAACTCGATAAATGGCACAGTATTTGGGACACAGCAGCCTTTCTGAGATGATACTGAAGTCATCCAATTGGGAAAACAGAGGACAAGAAATAATTGTGAAATGCTTTCGGGGAGACATAAGATGAAGGAAATAGAAGCTGTGCTCTTTATGGAATCAAAAGCAGTTGCACAACTGTGTGCGCGTGCTAAGTCACGTCAGTCGTGTCTGATTCTTTGCGACCCAGTGGACAATAGCCCACCAGGCTCTTCTGTCCATGGGATTTTCTAGGCAAGAATAGTGGAGCAGGTTGTCATGTCTTTCTCCAGGAGATCTTCCTGACCCAGGGATTGAACTCGCATCTCTCATGTCTCCTGCATTGGCAGCTACATCCTTTACCACTAGAGCCACCTTGGAAGCCCCAACTTGTACCTAAATGATTATCTTTACTCTTCAGGTCCTGCTTTTTTTTTTTTTTCCTTAAAGAGCCAGGTAACTAGGGAGGGGATGGATTTCTTCAGAAATAGGGAAAGATGTGCTATCTGCAAGAAAGGGAAAACTAAGGACACATTTGGTGGAGACGGCAGCCTGCTTGCCCTTCCCTTGGGCAGCAAGCTCACTTCAACCCAGTTCGCCAGTTCTGGCAGGTTTGCAGTGGAGATCCCGGTGCTGCCTCTTCCCATTAGTTTCTGTGGAAGCAGGATTGGCTGGGAGAAACTGTCTCAGTGGTACATTCAC